CTGGGGACAATGACATTTTACAATTAATGTCAGGATAGTGGAAAACTGGTATTAAATACGGCGGTAGTTTAGTACATTTTTATTATAAACAAACTTTTTTCTTCTAGGATCAATAAAATATACCATTTTTAGATAGCATAATTTTAGATAACATTTCAAAATAATGCATATACTAGATTTTAAATTAGGCCTTTAGAAACACAACCGAGTGAACTGCATCCAATTTTGGAGCAGTAGTTTTTGCATGATAGCGGAACAAACTATAGACAGTTCATTGTAAAATATTATTTTAGCTTGTTATTATAATCAGTAAAAATATTGTATTATATATTTTAAGAGGGACGTTGCTGCCCATCTTTCAACCATAATAAGTTTCCTTAGTCGCCTCTTACGACACCACGGGAAAGGAACGGGTGACCCTTTCTATCTAGGGACCATACGATGGATAATATAAAGTATATACGAACTGGAATTTATTACAGATTATATATTATAGTTATTTTTATATTGAGAGCAAATACCCCGATAAGTAATATAAATGATAAATATTGTAATACAACCAAATAATTACTTTTGCTGTTTACATTTTACAAAATAATCAAGATCATTACGCCCTCCTCAAAAATAGGAAACAAAGGAAATCAATAATATTTCCGGGCGTACCGTTATAGGGCAGTAATAAAAACGAATGTTTCCCTAGTATTCTGTTATTTTTCCTCACGACGCAGTTGTGTAAACCTCGGATGCGTTCAGGGAATACTAATCTTGAATCTAAGGTGAGTGGTTTGTGGGGGAAAAGTTCGGTAGGTGATAATGGTGCGAAGTGCCTACTGTGAAACCAGGGAGCGTGAAGCGGGAATGGAATGGTATTGATTGTCGCCGTCCCGCCGTCCGTGTTTATTGACACTAATACCATTAAGTGAATCTGAATTAACAGTTTAAATATACACATATATACAACAAATATCTTTCCTAATCTTAGATTATATACATAGAGTGTCACCATACAAATGCGTCGAGAAAAGCGGGTCAACTTTTTCATACAATTTTGCGTGATAAATAGTTACGAGTGTTTATAACATCTATATTTATATTGTTTTATAATTTTTGCATTTGGCATTTTTAATGCGTATAAATTAATTTTATTTATTAAATAAATAAATATAGATACGTCAAGATACATTTTATGTGTAAACGAGTCAGCAAATTGTTTTTATACAACGTATAATGGCAAACAAGCTGACGGCCCACCTGATGGAAAGTGATAACCGTCGCTTATAGACATGAGCAGTACTATAGACATAACAAAGTATACTGTTTCACCCATGATACCCCTCATGCGTTGCGATTCCTGAGGACTCAGGTATTATTCCTCTGTACACTGTAAATTCACGCCATATCCCACCCTTCAAACCGAAACACAACCATGCAAACACAACTGCTTCACAGTAGAAACACGAATGGGACAGAGGTATCCAAGCAATCGACTTTTGTACAAAATCTCCCCCTGGTTTACCAGGGGGAGATTTTGTACAAAAATATCGCTAAGTATTAACTTAGCTAACAAAAAGTTAACCTGTTTTTCAGACACGATGCTCTATCTATATAATCTAAGTGCCTAATATTATAAATGGAAAAGTGAGTTTTTTGTTGTATCTTAGCGCCCTAACTGCTTAAGTAATTACTATGAAATTTAGTATACATATATAGATTGGAGAAGTATATAATTATCTTGGTCAATGAATAATTTTGGTTATGTGGATGAAGTGGCTGACAAAAGTTAATCCTTATTAATGTTATCAAAGTAAAAATCACTTTATTTATTATCTATTGGTGCCTTAATGGCTTAATTAATTAGTATAAAATTTAGTATATGAGTATTATATGGGATAAAGTAGAACATGGCATATACTTTTTATTCCGATCAGTAAACATATCCTGGTTACGTTGGATCATGTTTTTTATACAACTTAGAATAGCGAACAAGCTGACGTCCCACCTGATGGAAAGTACTAACTGTCACCTATAAACATGAGCAGTATCATTGACATATCAGAGTATACTGTTTCACCCATGATACTCCCCATGCGCTGCCATCCCTGAAGACTAAGATGTTATGCTCTGTACCCTGTAAATTCACTGCCATATCCCACCTTAGTCAATTTCTTTGGTTTTCCTTCTACTGAAATCCACGCGTACGTAATAACGTGCAAAAGGCTAGTAATCCACAAAATATATGTTTAATTAATAATATTACAAAAAAACCTAGACAAGTCTAGACGTAATCTTATTTCGGGACTAGTTCCAGTTTTACTTCTTAATAACAATATCCAGGAAAATACAAAACTATTCAACCCTAATATTAGGGTTGTTAAAATGTAGATTACGTTTAGTGTTAGCAAAGAAGTCATTGCAGAAAGCCCTTACCCAAATACCCTTCTAGGAGAACTCTTTGTAGTCATTTCGACAAATAAACCGCCCAGGCCCCTTGGAAGGTCCAATAATGACCTTGACCCTTGACCGCCGACCTTTGATATTAAATTCGCAAAGTCTGTGACCTTCTTAAATTAAATAAGCCATCCATTACCATAATGCTTACACTACGATGGAGTAAATAATTATGTTTGTGCACTGCCGCTGACGGGCTGTTTTTGCGTCTAGGCAATTATAATTTCATAATAGTTTCACTCTAAACCGACTTTAACAGTCAAAGTTCAAAACAGGAGAATCTCAATTTGACTGTTATATTTTGTATGTAATTTTATCAATTTTAAATTGGGTTTGAGTATTTACTATCTCTTCACTTATTTATTCACTTTGACTTCAAAAATGGGGGAGTTTTTCTATTCGGTTGTATTTTTTTATGTTTGGAAATCAATTTAAAGTGATCAGGGGGCACGGTAGTGCATCCGCCAAGGCGAACACAACTGTTACCATTTTTTCGAAGTGACTCAAGCTACTTTTGACCCTCTTAAAATTTTATTGTGAATAAAGCAAGAAATCTGAAGTTTATTACGAATTATCGCTAGTTAAATTCTTCACTTTTGTCACTGACACATTTAGCCATCATCAAAATTCTAAGGTCCTAGCAATCTCACAATCTTCAAATTTTGCATTTTAGTTATCGTTTAGCCTATAAAGAAAAGAAAAAATAAAAAGTCCTGAAATTTCATTATTCATTTTTCTTAAATGAAAAGAAATGATTGTTAAAAATTACGTATATTCTTTCAAATAACGTATCACGGTTGTAGCTGACGAACAAAATATATTATTCGAAAAAAGGAGAATGACCTAGTAAAAGAAATGACATGATATACGAAACATAAAATGTAAAAAATACCAAGTCTCGTAATATAGTCTTTCACTACAAAAAGTTCTGAGATCTCAAATAATGAAAATAAAAAAAATGTATAATGACTTGGCAATGGTACGATATCAGAATTATAAAAGAAGTTTCTAGTATGAAATCTACTATTTTGATTACTGAGTACATTTAAATAGTTTAGAAATAAAATATTTTATTAGCAGAATATAGTACCACAGACAGTACCGTACAGTTGCTATATTATTATAATTATTATAAAAACACGTGTAAAGATATCTAATACTGATAGAGTCAGTATAAATATTGATAGGTAATTGATTAGATAATAATTTATAACAATGTTGTTGACTAGATGTTTCCATATACATTAACTTAAATATCTGACTTGTTGGTTTTTCATGAGAAATATTTTCACAACTTTTTGTAGTAGAACAACTGCGTTGAGTGACTTGGCATTTTTTTACATTTTATGTGTTTGATGGAATAAACGTGTACAGCAAACAACTAGATTATAATGTATTAAAACTATGCTAGAAATTAAGTTGCTTTGTTGAAGCGTCAGTAATATAGGTACCTTTTGCTAACTTACTCACGCGTGCTTCACCTCTACTGTAAGGTATTATAGTTCGTGTGTTGAACAATAATCCCTTGCTTACTAAGCATTTAATTTGTTAATTTTACGGTAACTTTACCTTTCTATTGAGTAAACTGTAATTTTGTGCAGAATTAGTCCTTTGATTAATTTAATATTTTAATTTGCACGGAATAATTAATTTTAATTAGTTGCATTGGTCTTTGAGATTTAAAATGTTTAATATTAGTTTCGATCACAGCGACTTTGTCTGCGTGACCGGTATAAGTTCATTGACCGGAATAAAAGGTAGTTTATGTTCTTCTCTATTCCTTATAGTATTTTTTTTTAACTAAACTTTTATTAAAAAAAAAAAAATAACAGCTGTTTCTTGCCCGTTCTTCTCAGCTAAAATTACATTCCGAACTGGACGGTAGATTGATAAAAAATGACTATATATGATTTTTTTTTATTTTTTTAAAATAAAAAAAAATATAATTATTATTATGTGTAGGTATACCAAAGTTCATAATTATTAGTTGGCCATTAAGGCACCAAGAGGTAATAAATTAATAAAAAAACTCACTTTTAGATTTACAATATTAGTAAAGATTAGCTGTATCCCACGACTCCGCCTGTGTGAATCAGTATAAAAAGTATTATTTGCTACATAAATTGTGACATACCGAATTTCAATCGAATCTGTTCAGTAGTTTTCGTGTGATAAATTAATAAACATGCACCCTATGATTAGGTTCTATTAATAAGGACTAGTATAGATTTCAAAAAGAGAACGAATGTAATAAATTTTTATTTATTTGTGAATGTATGCAACGCAGTCGATAGATTTATTGTCGTGGGTCTTTATTAATTTTTCATTATTGGAACTACTGTTTCCCTTTACAAAATAAATTATTTTAGTTACATATTCTAATGATTATTGATTTATATTATACTTGTGTAGAGTTTAAATAAATTTAATAATTAAATGAAATGTAATAAATTTAATTATAAATATTTTTTTATATTTCTTTGTAATATTATTTCCTATATATTTCGTTGTAGTAATAGTACTTAGTTATTCTTTTCTTTTTCTTTTTTAAA